TTTCCCCCCCTCCCTCAAATTTCCTCCCCCCCCTCCCCTCCCTCTGACAGCCGACCGGCGCGTGAGGGAGCACTCTCCTCTGAGTGCTTCCTCTTCAGCTCCCTCGCGCGCCGCGTACTAATGCCGGCGCCGGAAGATGACGTCATCTTCCGGCTCCGGCATCAGTACGGTGCGCGAGGGAGCTGAAGAGGAAGCACTCAGAGGAGAGTGCTCCCTCGCGCGCCGGCCGGCTGTCAGGGCCAGCCTCTGGGGGGCCCTGAGGTGACCGGCTGCTGGGCCCCCCAGGAGAAGAGGCTGGCCCAGTGGGTACATACCGGGGTCGCAGGGCTCCCTGCGACCCGGTATGTACCCACTGAATGTGGGGCCCGGACGACCTTAGCAGTCCGGGCCCCCCAGGACCGCCGGGCCCATGACAACCGTTGCGGTTGTCATGCCCTGATGGCGGCCCTGCTCAGCACTACCAGCAGCCCCGTCTCCCGTGACCTCATCCGTCTCTTGTGCCGATGGCCAATGCAATGCTTCTCATAGAGAAGCACTGGAAACTGATGAGCCTCCAAATACTTGTCATAGGAAAACTTTGAATCCAATGGTTTCCTATGAGCCACTACAGTTTTGTTTAACCTTGCAATATAAACAATGCATTTTTTTCCAAAACTGTAATGTTTTATTTTGCAGAGTTAAAGTTACAGGACCACTTCACCCAGACTACTTCATTAAGATGAAGTGGTCTGGGTGACTTTACTGGTCTCTTAAATTCGTATTCACGGTGAGAATTCAAAGTGTATTTCAAATGTAAGGCCAAACTAGGACTAAATCGGAGTAGCCAGACTAGAAGCAGAGCCGATTTAGAGAAGTTTTCCAGTTGGTCTGTTTTGACCTTAAAAATTAAATTCACTTTGAACTCTCACTTTCCTAAATAAACCCTTATATCTATACACTGATCAACCACAACATTAAAACCACTGACAGGTGAAGTGAGTTAACATTGACTATATTGTTAAATGCCACCTGTCAAGGGGTTGGACATATTGGGCAGTAAGTGTACCAAAAGTGGTGCAAGGGACAACAGGTGAACCTGCGTCAGGGTCCTGGGCACCTAAGGACCATTGAAGCACGTGGGGAGCAAAGACAAGCCTGTCTGGTCTGATCACACAGAAGAACTGCTTAGCTTAAATTGGTGCAAAACTTAATGCTGGCTATGATAGAAAGGTATCAGAAGGACACAAAGTGAATCACAGTTTCCTGTGTATGGGTATGTGTAGCCGCACACCGGTCAGAGTGCCCATGATGATCCCTGTTCACCACAAAAAGTGCCAGCAATGGGGACGTGAGCATGATTGTGCATTTGGGGGATACGCTTCAACAATAAATCCAATCCATGGATACTACTTTGAGATTGTAGGGAACTGAAACTGAATTGGAATAATTTGTCTCAAATCGATCTCCCAGCTGTGACTATCACAGAGTAGTGGTGCTTAGTGAATAAACATATAATAAGGACAAATAAATGAAATAGTTATAAAGTTTATTTTGCAGCAGAAGTACTTTGAGCATGTCTAATTTTTTGCTTTTGTGATTATCCACCCTTGCTACGTTTGTTAAACTTGATATTGACAGACAATGTAGCGTCACTTCTAATCTATTAACAAATCAGACTGGTTACAAGTTATTTCGATAGCTGATAATTGTTACATAAAAGTATGAAAGTTAACATCTGATAATAGACATTTAACGTTCAGTTCAGTCTTAAAGGAACATTCCCACTACCATACCTACTTAATATCAGACCAAAATGTTGCAGTATATAGAAATACACATTACTCAAAATTTTAAATGATTTCAGCCTGACTTCAGTGGGTAAATCTTTATTTGCAGAGAAGACATTCCCAACATTTCCAGCATATTTCCAATCAATGCTCTCTGTTGTTTGCAGGTGAAAATGTAAGAGAGTTTTTCTTTAGAGTGGCATCTTTGACATTTGAAGCTAGTGTACTGGCCGAGCTGGAGAAGACAAATGCCAGAAGGATCGGTGATGTTGTTAGTGAGTATTTGGAATAGTACAACTTAATTATTTAATTTGAAAATGTAAAAATAATGCAGAAATTATTATTGGCATTTATATAGTGCCAACGCATTCTGCAACACTTTACAATAATTGCAGTTAGCTAAGCGGAGTAATAGTCTGAAAATATTTCCAGTTTGAATTTCCACTCCCCTTGTTGGTATTTCACAAATTCTGGTTCAGAAATCCAGAGTTTTTCAATGCAATCTCTAAGGGACTTTCAACAACTGGGCAGCATTTACATTGAAGGGACAGGCTATAGACACCAGAAGCACTACATTAAGCTATAGTTGTTCTGGTGACTGTAGTGTCCCTTAAGGTACAGCGCCTAGGACCTTTTCACACCATAATAACTTGCATTAAGGACTGTTTATACCTTTTGTTTTGTTTTTGCAATTTCTTTTAGAGGTTAGGGCAATTGGCAATTGAGCAAAAGTTCCGTGTTGTATGGTCACTTGTACTGCCACAAATGTGTGTCTTCTATATTCTTGCGGTCATGCAGGGTGTAACGCTGTATGTTGTATTTCATTTTCAGAGATAAACAGCAACGACAGCAACTTGTTTCAGACGACAAAGAAAGACAAGGCCAAGTGCTGCCAATGACACTATGCTGCCGACGAAAACTGACATTTGCACTGAAAAGCTTGAAACCAAACGTTGTTTCACAGGCTTGATATACAGAATGAACTTAATGTCCCGGTGTTTGGCCCTGGTCTAAGAAATGAAGCAGTACTTCAATCATTGTTTTTAATAATCCACCGTTATCTGTGCTCACACGGGTAACTACAACATTGAGCTGTACTTCTACTGCTCCTCCCTCCTCTGGCAACGGAGAATTAAATCTGTGTTCGAACTTAAACCTAAACCAAAATGCCAGAGAGGAATGTAGTCTCCATAAAAGGTACACAAACACATTACCCTGTTAAAATAAAACCTTATAGAGGGCAAATGTGTTGATCACAGAGCGGATCTATTTACACACACATATATATATATATATATATATATATATATATAATTATTTTTTTTAAAGTAGTGTTTTATACCAAGGTATATTATATATACATTCTCATTGTTTCAAAGACATGTTAAGTGATGCAAATAGAGGAAGGTACCTCAATGGATATAAAGAATCCCACACGACCTCTACAAAATAAGGCTTTTCAACTATGTTTTTTGGGGGGTTTTACGTAAAGATGTCCCTTCTTCCTAACCAATCAATTGAACTTATCAATACTTCTTTGTAGGGGCTCTTAGCAGGCAAACACGTATAGGCAGTTGTCTTCCATGCCAGGTAAAAAGCCCAGTTCTATTCTGTAACCATTATTCGTGAAGGAAGCAGGTTTACCAGTGTGGTCTATCAAATAAATAAAAACTGTAACTCAATAAATTAACCATTCCAATGATCCATCTGGAAGTATGGTTGAAACCATATCTGGACCACTTTTCCTGTCATTGGTATCCTAGCTTCATTTACAGGAGTACATTCTATTACCCCATCTAAAATCTCACTTTGGTACCCTGAGATGTTGAATGAGATCATAGAGTTAGATCATTTGCTTAAATTATCTGTATTTAGTAGTCGTGATCGTAATAAGATATATTTTACTGCATATATGATTCGTTGATAAATTACAAGTTTGTTTCTCTTTTGTGCTCCAATATTGTTTTATAAACTTTTATAAAAAATGTTTTCGTCTAGTATGTTAATTTACTAAACCGTAAATTGTAGTGAATTGAAAACAATTTCCAAACCTTAGACCAAAATATTCAAGTTTGAGAATCCTCCAATTTAGCTAGTCAAAACTTGGCAATTGTAGATTGAAATTTCAAATCCGTTTTTAAATTTGTTACAATTTGTTGAAACCCTTTTGCTTATTTTTAATCTTTGTGTAGTTTTTGTAGTACTTGGGATGATGCAATAGACTTCTTCCATCTATTTATATATTTTGGTATTTGTAGTATGCTTGAACTCTTTAAAATTGGCTCCTAAAGGAGCAGAGAAACGCCGTACTGTATTTTATTCTGGTATCCGGCTCCTTATGGGACATTTTATAGCTTATTATAAAGGCTATGATACCAGGGAGCTATAAGTGCAATCATTTAAACTAATTTGACAATATTGTGTACCCTGGGATCCAAAGCCAGACTAAATAAGGAAATCTACATCACGTACGGTATAAAGCAATGGTTCCTAGCTTAGGTCGCTAATTAATACTTTTGGATAAGCTTTTCAAATAATGTAATATTTTGAATAAAACTTTAAAAAAATCATATTAAATCATTTGAAAAAAAACAAACAAAATTATTAAATCTAGACCTTAGACCTCAAAAACACCCAATAGCCCAGGAATTCACTATTCCCTGTAAGGGTAGAATTATGTATTTGTCTGAATCCTGGACTATTGGGTTTGGAAGAGGCTTGGAGTGTCCCTTTAAAAGTGAGTGTCATGACATGTCACTAAGTTAATACTCTACTTTCAGCCTCATATTAAAATGTTATTACCAACATGAATATGGACCCTTTAGTTTAGATAACCAAACAGTGTCTGATTGTGTGTATTTCTCAGACACTTAATTAAATTTAAAGACTAATGTGCTGTGGCTCCTTTGGCCCAGGCCCAGATGGCATACTGGTGTCTGGCTTAGGCTGATAAGAATTGAAGTCCCAAAAGGTGGGGTTGGGAGTTATAGGTTTCCCAGCTCTGCTATAATGCAGTTTTAGGCCAGAAATGTATTTGGTATTCTGCTGAAAGTTGTAGAATAATATGAATAAATATTTTTACATTTTTCGTAACAAATCCCGGTTTTCTGACTTTTTCACGTCTTGTGATGCCTACCTTGCCTCCCAGCACTTTCAGTGGATGTGTAACCAGAGGGATGATCATATTCACAGGATTAACTTGAACCATTGGGAAACCCCCCCCACAAATGAAAAGAAATCTTTGAAGAAAGCAGCATTTTATTTACATAAAAGTATTTTCTAAAAATGTTTAGTATACTTTTTTTAATGTTGGCTAATGTGACTGTCATATACGCTCATGCATACCACAAATTATACTTTCTTAGAAGAAAAACGGAAACCATCTAAAACCGAAAAAAAACAAACAAAAAAAACCCAACATTTCCTACTTCAGTTTTATGGTTCCCAATAAATTATTGGGAATTCAAATGTTGAGCCAAAATGACCAATTTGTAAAATGTCCGCAAGTTAGCCATGTTTTTAGTTCAGCTATTGGGGCTTACAATTTCATATCCAATTTGATTTTTAAATCTGTTGCCTACTGAAATTATGGTTTCTAATAGTCAATTAGAACATTGCTAGTTCAAACATTAGTGCAATGTGAGCAGGCAATGTATTTCAAAGATTTGATATGTTACCTTGCTTGCTTATTTAAGTCGGTCAATAAAGTGATTGTGGATCATCAAAAATCGTGAGCTTTCTCAGTTCGTGTCACACAAACCCCTACAACTCTCAGCCATGACCTTTGCTTACAGAATCCTTTCTATGGTGAGCTTACGGTAAATGCAGACAAAACCATCATGACAATTGCATTGTAACTGGAATCCTGTTATGGACAGTTGAAGTAAAAAAACAAAACCAGTACCAACTAAATGTTAGGTACATGGGCGTCCGCAGGAATTTTTCCGGGGGGTTGGGATAACTGTAATGGCATCCATGCCTGGCCCCTTTTTGACCGTGTCATGAATGGGAGGGGCATTATTATCACATAAAGCCAGGGTGACCAGATTTTGGAAATAAAAAACCGGGACACCCATTAGGCAAAGAGGCGAAGCAGGGCGAGCCATGCAGAGATCAGTGTGACGCTGGAAATAAGGGGAGTGAAAATACATTTTTAACAAGGGGGGGCAGTATATGTAAATAGCGTTTTCACAAATATGGTGTCAGGAATACATGTTTGTGTTTCTTACACTATAGTGTTCCTTTTAAGCAAATTAAAAGGAACATTCTTCCAAGTACAAGCCCCACGTTGGGCGCCAGTTGTAACCGCGGCTGGTTCCCTTATGTACCACTATAACATCCTAAAGCATAGAACTTAGCAGGGAGAACCATACAGATATCTTTAGCCTTAATATTATATAGTTCATAAGAGATCCTCTAGTTAAAATATATAAATAATTGAGAATACAATAGAAAATAAGGATGGTCTTGGAAGCAATAAAGTTGTCTTTTAGATATTTTATTAAATAAAAATATAAACATAGACATCTAAAACCATTACAACAACTTATAGCAGAGTTTATATGATTAAACTATATGCCTGCAATATCTTAATAGATTAACATACCCTCCTGAACATGTCATCACGTCAGATTCTCTGTCATTAGAAGAGGCAGGATCTGTCTCCAAATCTCTCCTCTCTGTGTTAACGTTTAAAAGGTACACATATTTATACCCTAGGAGTCTTCATTTTGGGTTACTGTAGTTTATATATGAAAAAGTAACACTTTATTCATTTTAGGACCTCCCTTAACTTGGCAAAAGTACAAGGACATAACCAAAACGTAAGAGGGTGCACACATCATGGGAAATTCCCTGACTTAGGACAAAATGGCATCTTAAAGTCTGAACATCTTTATCTATTTAGGGTTACCACAGTATATTATGTACTGAAAGAGTCGTGGCATAGCATTGAAGCTTGTTTATGTATTGTATTTCGTCTAGGACAAAAAGGCATAAACATATTATGCACTGAAAGTAGGTAAAAGGTTATTGCTTAAAGAAACATGTATGAAAAACAATATGTTCCATTTCTAACACCTTGTCAGATTGCATTATCTCTTAAAGGCAAAGTACACTGTTTGAGAAATACAATATTTGCATTTGCCCATAACACCTTTGTGCTCCTTCTGTCCCTTTCTGCTCCTTCTCCTACTTTACCTTTGTGCTCCTTCTGATTCTTTCTACTCCTTGATGTCCCTTCTAGCTCATTTCTCTACAGTCTCCTTTCTGCCCCTCCTACTTTACCTTTGTGCTCCTTCTGTTCCTCCCTGCTCCTTGCTGACCCTTCCTGCAGGCTGCCCCCCATGCATTACTTAACTGATCTGTAGGCTGTCTCAGTCAGTAGAGAGAAGCAGGGATGTGGGGGATGGGGGGGGAGGGAGTTTATGCAATATAACATAAGCAAATTATGTAAAAGTTTGGTAGTAGGGGGTCTTTTCTTTAAGGAAATACTAGGGTGTACTAAAAGCAGATACTATAGGAATTTTGGTTGGGTAAAATTTTTATTATAGGATATATAATTGGAAAGTGCAAATTACTTAATGTTTGTATAAAAAATTTTTTTCCCCATGTGCAGAAAAGGTATCTATGAAATCATTTTGTGAAAGTAGTAACAAAGCAAGAAATCAATGTCCTCTACCCAGTTAAGGAACAGACTCCAGAGCTTATATTCAGGATTCAACATTTTTTTTTTCCATGGAATTCTTTGAAGGATTCCAGGTAATGGTTATTGAATTGGCTCCTCAGATGTTCGGGAACACAGTCAGAACATTTGTAGTGCTCTTTAACCCATTTCCCCCCATTGCTGTCCTCGATGCAAATTGCAGCTACACCTTAACGGAACAAAAAAAAAAAATTAAAATAATATTTATTTATAGAGATACAACAAGAGCATTACATTGTCTTAGTTGGAAATGTACATTAAGGTTCCAAACTGAACATACCGGTAATACAAGTATTAAATAGTAGTTGGTAGCCCCCAACCAGTGCCCACGTGTAGGGGCATGGGGGTTCCAAGTTACTTGTGATAACGAGAGCTGCCCAGTTTGCTAGTCTTATTAGAGGGAGCAGCCAGTGGTTGTATACCGTTTAGCAGACATGTTGCGAGTGGGGCATGGTTTAATGGAATGGAACATAATCGTTCACACTAAATAGAAGTATGGTGTCAGGGTCTCCAGAGGCTATAAGCACCTCAATGAGCTGAAACAGTTACAGTGGCTACAGTATTCCTTTAATGTTGTACTCATTGCTTTGTCTTCAGGTTATTGAATAGAATACATTTTTGATAATGACTGTATTAATCATGTTAATTTCCGTATTTTATTTTTCTAATATGTATATTGTTTTCCTATTTTTTGGGGGGTACTATTATTGCTCAGGTACATTTTGTTTGACAAAACACTGCCCTTTTTTCAATGTACGTGATGTGCAAAGATGTATGGGAAAACTTGACCATTAAACATTACATTCCATAATCAAGGCTTACTGTCAGTATAGTATCAATCGTTCTAGGAATCATTCCATTAGATGGTGGAACATTGCATCAGAAAGGATTACCATTTAATTGGCTTAAGGTGCCTGTGCACTGACATTCCACTTTATTCCAGTATTTAATAAGGTTGGTGTCCGTACCCTTTGTATTCTTGTAATATTCTTCTACGCTCAACCAACCATTTGTTTATTAGGAAAAAAAAATAAAAATAAAAATACATGCTTAAATTCTAAAAGGCCATCTCCAAACATGGTATAATCAGGACATTGAGAATGGGCTAAACTAGTCCATCAGCTTAAATTGTTTACCTGCTCTCTCATAAAAGGTATAGCTCACTTGGATTCTTTGCTTACTGTGACTGGAACTATTGAATACCAGGGAAGGATCTATGACTCTGGATATTGACAGTGTGATGGTCTCTCTCCAGCTGCTCTCCCACTACATCAACTTTAGTAGAAAGGCTGAATTAAAGGCAACAATGTGAAATAGCCACTGCTGTCTCAGAGTGCAGTCCTACAATTAGTGGCATAGGACAACACATTATTAAAGACAAGCAGTTTGTGTAGTAACCATGGGTGCAGCATCCGAGGACCTAATCACGTTTCTACCCACAAAGACCCATCACGTTTCTACCCACAAAGACCCGTCAGTGGCCGAAACATTGCCGGACCATCTTTCTGGTAGAATAAATCCATGCTGGAACACATGATTTTTTTATTTAACATCACCCACTGGACAGTATGGGATTTTAAGACATGACCTGCCTGTCGAAAAAGAAAACCACAATTTCCATCCAGTAAATGCACACTTTTAGTTAATTTTGTCTCATCTTACCACTGTCTCTTACCTGCTACAATCCCGCCTTGATTTTCCACGAGTTTTATAGCAGCCTGCATAGTTCCTCCAGTTTCAATCCACTGGTCTACCATCAGGATACGTAAACCTAGAAAGGATCAACGTCTCAGACGCTTGCACAGAAATTTGCATTTCCCAATCATTGGTTATTTAAGCAACACAGAGATACAGAACTATTTGGTTGGCATGCCTATTTTACTGATACAGATATTCTGGCTACCTAATTAGGGATTATTCTAGCCTTGGTGAAGGAATAATCTAAATTATATTAAAGACAGGAGACAAATATTTGCTTTACATTCTTTACTGAAAACCTCCGGCAGCAAAGAAATAGTTCACATTACTTTTCAGAACAAAATAACAGCAGTATAAAACCTTAGGTAGACCCTCCCACATCCTCTTTCTTTGATGAGGTTGAGCAGGAGAGCATGAAAACCAGACAAATTAAACTGTAGCAGGCACACTTAGATGAGAAATGGACAGAACCAGAGGAAATCCAGATTACACTGTACGGAAAAAGAAACATTGTGAAAGTAAACTGCTAAGGCAGAATGTCATACCATATACATCAGTACTTCAGCAGAATAGGACATGATGAATAAATTCACACAGACAACCAAAACCACATCACAGAAAAATGTATTAATCAAACATGAGATCATACATTACAAAGAATATAACAATACAACGAATTAACATAAGACAAAAACCCAAATCGATTGAGGGAAATGTCATGTGGGGGAGGGATGAGGAAATATATGCCTCCTGTCTTTAATAAAAATTTAGATAACCCTCACCAAGGCTAGAATAAGCCCTAATTTTGATGGTTCAATTCCTTCATGAAGGCGCCACCGAAGAGTAGACCTTTGGCATCCAGACCCAATTCCTTAGAGACCAAGTCAGCCAGTTTGCCATCCAGCTTATACAGGGCCGTGCCATTCTGAGTTTAGGGCCACATTGGCATTGCCCAGGAGACAAATAGCCCTTTGGGCCCAATCCCAAAGGAGATGAGCATCCACTGGAGCTCCACCATGTAGGGCATCATCCACCATCAGGAAAATCTGTTTCAACGGACCACTGAGATCGAGAAGCTTATTCTGGGCTGAACATAGGTCCTGTTCCAGGCCTTTGCGAGGATCCTTCCCAGATCTCGTCATGAAGGTGGTGGACACCGGGTCAAAATCAGAGGTCAGGGCCATCTTATTCGGCAGTGATGGATGGGGGCCTTCAGCATGGAGTTTTGCCTGCACCTCCTTGTCCAAAGGGTGGCGAAGCCAGTAATGGAGAAATTCCACGATGTGGTCTGGGGAGCCCATTCTGCAGAGTGAGGATGTTTGAGGAGACGTGGATCGAAGAGCGAGTGAGGGGAGCTCAGAATAGTTTCTCTCACAGAGCGTGAGGGTCGTTCAGTGAAACCCTCGCCGGGAGAAGCGTTACCAGAGCTGCCAGCTCAGTATTCGTCCACAATGTCATAGCAAGGTGCCCCAGAACACGTGTCTTCATCCTGGGGACCGCTGGAACTGGAGCAGAGTCTGGTTAATTTGGCTGGCAATTTTCCCTTGCCAGTGACAGCGCCATGACCTGTCCAAGGTCTTTAGCGCGCGGAGCCCATGTCTGTAGAGGGGAGGGAGCCGTCGAGGTCCCGAGCCCCAGAGGTGCCAGATGTAGGTCCCGCAGGGGCAGGACGAGCGTCCCCGTGGATTGCAGCAAGGGCTTTAGGTAGCGAATCCGCCAGTGCAGCACATAACCAGGCTTGTAGGCCCTCGAGTGCACGGAAACTAGATTTGTCAGCCATGACTGATGACACTGAAACAACAGTAAGGTATGGTCAGTGTGGTACTCAACCAAGGCTGGCTCGGGGTCACCCAGCGTG